CCCCAAAACCCCAAAACCCCAAAACCCCTTAGATATTTCACCAAACTGAATCTTATTTATTTTTCTTTGCAGTGAATTCATCCCGTTGGTGAATATCAAATCCTCCAGTTTTAGCAATTCCGTTGCCACCTCTATTGATAGGAGATGTTGTTGAGTATTTACTGGTATAATTCAAATCCATCGCATGGGTATGCGACAACTTCGGAATGGTTTCTCTATGATGTTCCATTGCTTTCAATTTGTTCAGCAAAGAAATCTCCTTGAGCCTCATATAATCCATCTGTTTTAAGACCATATTTGGATACAAAATGGAGAGTTCAGATACATTTGGCCTATGCTTTGGATCAACAGTCATTCATCTTTTAATAGAGTCTATCAATTCACTTGAGTACTCTCCCTCTTCTACAGGTTGGTATTCACAGTTCACGATTTTGTTGGCAATTAGTAAGGGATTGTCTCCTTTAAAGGGCTGCTTTAGAGTTAAGAGTTCATACATAATTGCACCGAGGGACCAAACGTCTGCCTTGACAGTACACTTTTTGTTCTGAACCATCTCTGGACAGGAGTAGAGAATTGTACCAACAAATGATTTGTGACCACTAGCTGATTGAGTACCCCATCTGGTTGCCAGACCAAAGTCAATCAGTTTGACAGTAAAATTCTCATCAAGGAGGATATTTGATGGAGCAAAATCTCTATGGAGGATCTTCATATCATAGTGAAGATACCTCAATGCCGATCAGAGCTGGAACATTATGTTCCAGGCTACCTCTTCTTTCACCTTCTGCTTCTTCTCAGACAAGGAATGGATATAGTCTGCTAGAGACATGCCTTCATGAAGCTCCATGATAATGTAGACCCCATCAGCTTCTACAAAGGAGGTGTAAAATTTGATTATGTTCGGGTGGTCGACACCCTTAAGAATAGAAATCTCTTTACAGATCTTCTCAGAGACTTGAGCATCAAGGTCCCTCTTATCCTCCTCAAGCTCCTCACTCTTGAGTTGCTCGAATGTATGGTCGTATTGGGAGATATCTATCTTCTTCATGGCATAGCGGAAGCCTTCTTTCTCAACTTCATAGACAATTCCAAAAGCGCCTTTGCCGATAATATCAATGATATTGTACCCATTGACTGACTTTTGGTTCTCAATAATTCCACTAGAAATATCACGTATTTTTTCAAAATTTGCCATGATTGTAGACTTGCTGGTCTCAGAGAGCCTATTGATCTTCTTAACAAGTTTGTATTTCTCAAGGTCTCTTTCATAATTACCAATGTCAATAAAGGGTCCAAAGACTTCCGGAGGGAACACTAATCGAAACACTTTCCTATTCTTCTGTACACTGTAGAGGAACCTGAGAAGGAGCAAAGAATGCCTTTGGATTTCATCAACTATCTGCTTCATGCTGATCTTCAGCTCAGAGCTGCTCCCCATTCTGTGCCTTAGGCCTTCGAATATTGGGTCATCCTCATCGATACATTCTGAAGCGTATAGAAGCTTTCTTCCAATAATATGGACTCCTCATTCTCTAATCATGACGGCATTTTGGTCATCCATACAAAGATTTGTCAAAATCTCCAACAAAGTCATCTGTGGGAAGACTCTTTTTGACAGCTCAAGTTCGTCAAGAAGGGTGCCGATAATATGTAAGCGTCTGAATTCTGGTAGGAGGTCATGAGTGATATGAGAAAGGACCCTAAAAGCATCCCAAAAACCCACTTTCATATTACTAGTCTCTTCACTAGGTTCGTCATCTTCACAATGAATGTTGATCAACCGGATCTGTTCAAGCTGGTTGGCTAAAACCTCCAGAACATTGAGATCTTTAAGAATGGCAAGAACTTGATCGTCGTTCATGAGTTCGATGAGTAGACATAGCACACGCTTCTTCAGCTCAACTTCATCAGAGTTGTTCAACACAGCAAGGATATTTTCCAATGCTTGGTCGTTCCTAAAATACTCGATGTTCGTTCTCTTCGACAAAATCTGGATTATCAGTTCGATAATACAGATCTGCAAAATATTGTTGTCACAGCACAACAAATCAGTCAAGAGAGGCAAAGTCCGTTCTATGATGGTGATGTTATCCTCCTTCGTAGGAGCATCGATCAGTAGGTCTGCATCATCAACAGTTTCAGTGTAGTGCTCAAGAATATACACATGCATACGTTTTGCAGTGCTTATTACCTCAATGAGCAAAGGCGTATAAGGAGTCTCATTATGGCCAAGATTTTCTAAAACTTTCGGATGCAAATGCATGATCATATTCAAAATGATCTGTACGCCTCCCTTAGAAATCAAGATTTTCATGATATTTGCATCTCTAGAAAGAAGCCTAGCAAGCTGGAAAATCCTGAGAAGATGATGATACGAGTACGGTACTAAATAAGGTAATACTTGGTCTTACTATTCATAAGGTCACTTCCGCCACCCTATATAGAGAATATCAGGTTCAAAGCTTACATAATTCCAGTTTAATATCCTTAAATCAATGTTGAACACCATAATTTTTCTGAATTCATCCGAATCAAAATTGTACAAATTTGAATATTTATTTGGTAAATTTATCAATTATGGAGATCTCTTCTTCCTCATTAGGATCAGGGTCCTCGAAGGAAGCCAGGAGTTGTCTAGACCGCTCTATTGTGTATAAGAATTGGAAGTCCAGACTCAGACTTACCTCAACCATTAACCAGAGGTTTAGATTTTTGGATTTCCATTTTTGTATTTTAAATTTCAATTATAATACAAAATCTTGGGGTTTTGGGGTTTTGGGGTTTTGGGGTTTTGGGG